ATCACTTTTCTCCCAACCACATCATCCCCCAAGTCATCTGCCCTCCAAATCTGCATTTCTCCCCTATCGTTTTTGCAACAAATTACCACAAACTAGTGGCTTAAAACAGGACACATTTGTAATCTTAAAGTTCAGGAGTTCTGAAGTCTAAAACGGGCCTGCTGCTTCCGGACACCCCAGGGGAGAATCTGTCTGCTTGCCTTCTGCAGCTCCTGGAGGCCGCCTGCATTCCTTGGCTCATGGCCCCTCCTCCATCTTCCAAGCCAGCAGAGTGGTGTCTTCTCTCCTTGCTGACTTCTGCCCCCCTTTCACCAGGATCCCTGTGATGGCATTGGGGCCACCAGGATAATCCGGGATAATCCCCCCACCTCAAAATTTTTAAATCACATCTGCAAAGTTTCTTCTGCCAAGTAAGGTAAATTACTTGGTAATTTACGTGACAAGGTAGATATCCACAAGTTCTGGGGGTTAAGATATGGACATCTTTGGGGGTCACTATTCTGTCTGGACTCTCATACCCTTTCCTTCCAACCCAGGCGTTTCCAGACCCCTTCCAATTTTAGTATATGCGCTGCCGAAGTGAGCACTCCAGACTCCTTCAAACACATTCCTCTAGGAGTTTTTATTTGCTTGTTTTAAAGGAGCATGCCCCAAATACATGATTAAAAGCCTGGACCCGCAGCCAAATTACCTCAATTCAAATCCCAGCTCTCCTGCCTCCTCATTGTTCTACCTCGGCCAATCTGCTTCACCTCTCTGCACCTCTATTTCCTCATTTGCATGATGCAGGATGTCTCAGCTCCTGCTGCCATAATACGGGTGTCATAGACTGAGTGGTTTAGACTTCACAGTTCTGGAGACGGAAGTCCAACAGGATCAGGTTCTGATGAAGCTTTCTTCTGCCTTGTAGTTGGCCACCTTTTCCTAGGTCCTTATGTGGCGTAGAGGGAGGGTGGAGGGAGAGAGAATGTGCTCTGATGTCCCTCTGATGAGAATGTTACCGGTGGAGGGTGTTCAGGTTCTTGGCATCTTGAACAAGTAATTGGACAAAACATGCAAACAAATCACGGAAGGAATGAAGCAACAAAAGCAGAGATTTATTGAAAATGAAAGTACACTCCACAGGGTGAAAGCAGGCCCCGGCATAGGTTCTCAAGGACCCCAGATACAGAATCTCCTTGGGTTCAAATACCCGCTATAGGTTTCCTAGTGGCCACTTGGTGTTCACCCCATGTAAATGAAGTGGCAGCCTGCAATCAGTCTGATTGGTCAAGTGAAGTTACAAGTGAGGTCACACTCCTATGCAAACATCTGATTGGTTGTGGAAAGCAACCAATCAGAGGCTGAAGTGAAGTTACAAAGTGACACTCCTATACAAACGTCTGATTGGTTGCAAAAACCAACCAATCAGAGGTACTTTCAATTTCCCATCTGCCTGGCAGAAAAGGTGAGAGTTTGCAAAGGGGTAGCCTCTGGTCCTTTTATTACTTAGGTGTGGAAAGTTAGGGTTCTCCTTTCAATTTAGTTCTAGGAAGTCAGTGTGAGAGAGCCTTAGGTTCCCTGCCTCTAGACCCTACTCTCCTGCCTCAAGGATGCTGATATGGTTTGGCTCTGTGTCCTCACCCAAATCTCATCTTTAATTGTAATCCCCAAGTGTTGAGGGAGGGACCTGGTGGGACGTGATTGGATCATGTGGGTGGTTTTCCCCGTGCTGTTCTTGTGATAGTGAGGGAGTTCTCACGAGACCTGGTGGTTTTATAAAGCAGTTTTCCCTGCTCTCTCTTGCTCTTCTCACTCCTACTGCCTTGTGAAGAAGATCCTCACTTCCTCTTTGCCTTCCGCCATGATTGTGCGTTTCCTGAGGCCTCCCCAGCCATGTGGAACTGTGAGTCAATTAAACCTCTTTCCTTTATAAATTACCCAGTCTTGGATATTTCTTTATCGCAGTGTGACAACACACTAATACAGATACTAATCCCTACCTTCTCAGGGTCTTGCCCTCATGGCCTCGGCAAACTTTAATCACTTCCTTATTCCAAACAGTCATACTGGGGGTGAGGGCTTCCACATATGAATTTTAGGGGCACATAATTCATAGCAGAGGGTAATAATATCTCCCAGAGTCCCAAGGAGTAAACGAGTGAATATGCTTACAAGGCTTAGAACAGGGCTGTGGCACAGTGGCAGTGCAGGGGTTATTATCATCATTATTTATAAAATATACATTTGGGCTCTGCAGCTGATCACGCACATCATAAAACGCGAAAAGAGAAACTGTAAAAGGATGAGATAAATTGAAGTTGAAATGATAATCGTTTTCTCCCACACTTCCAGTGGATTGTCCTGCATGCCCTGTGGGGTTTGGGGTCCCCCTATTCCAGCCTGGGGTTCTCTGACATTGGCATGCATCCCAGTCACTTGTGTCACTCTTAAAATGGAGCTTCCTGAGCTTCGTCCCAGATTAACTAGATCAGCCCTGGTGACAGAGCCCAGTGGCTGCATTAAAAATATATAATAGACCAGGCATGGTAGCTCCCACCTGTGATCCCAGCACTTTGGGAGGCCAAGGCGGGTGGATCACTTGAGGTCAGAAGTTTGAGACTGGCCTGGCCAACATGGTGAAACCCTGTCTCTACTAAAAATACAAAAAAAAAAAAAAAAAAAAAATTGGATGTGGTAGCACACGCCTGTAATCCCAGCTACTTGGGAGGCTGAGGCAGGAGAATTGCTTGAACCCAGAGGCAGAGGCTACAGTGAGCTGAGATCATGCCACTGCATTCCAGCCTGGGCAACAGAGTGAGACCCCATCTCTACAAAAAATTAAAAAATTAGCCAGGGGAAATGGTACGCGCCTGTGGTCCCAGCTACTCAGGAGGCCGAGGCAGGAGGATCCCTTGTACCCAGAAGTTGGAGACGCCAGTAAGTAATGATTGCACCTCTGCACTCCAGCCTGGGGGACAGAGCAAGACCCTGTTTCAAAATAGATATGTATTTTTGATGTCAGAGAAACTGTTTTCATCAACTGTGGGAAAAACCCTGAGACTCACTTCTAACCGCTGACCACAAGCACTCCCAAGTCTAAACTGTTTCCACCTCCCTGAATCCAAAACTCCAGCTGATGAGTACTGAGTCTTTATGTGAACATGGCCACATCCAAGTGACCAGGCAGCCCTGTAGTTGCTCACAGTCAAGTTCCTGTACGGTTTCCTGAAGATGCAAAAACATTTTGAAGTATGAGATTCGAGCGTCGTACCCTGCCCAAGGCTTCTGTTTAAAGGTGGAATGTTTTCCCTGCTTGTTTTCTTTTTAAATCCACCCCCCTCTTGGTTTCTAATGACACTTGACATTTGATGTTCACCACTGCCGTGAGTTCTCCTCCGTCACTGACAACACAGCCATGCCCAGCTACGAACGCAGAGACGGCAATTCTCCAGACCTGAGCGTATGTTGGAGACCTACATTCATTTTATGAATGTGAGCAACACAGTTTCCAATTCCTTTTGACTCATGTTTTCCTTCCTTTTCTCCACTTGCCAGTTGGGGTGGACTCCAGCATGGCTGAGGGCAGACGCCGCCGCCCCTGAGAGCTGCTTCTGGCTCATGCGGCTTCTTAGGGGACCACAACTCCAGCCCTCGTCTCTGTAGGGGACACAAATTCACCACTTGCCCTTTGTCCCCAGAAGATGTTTTCCAACAGCTCGAGGGCCGATCCGGAATCAGAGATAAACACTCCCTGGGGGAGGCCGGAAGAATATTAAGTTTGTGTTGTGTTAGCCCTTGCTGGGTCTCCAGATCTGAACCCCGGCGGGGCCTGTGTGCTCAGATCTTCCCACAGCGTACCCCTGAAAGCCAGTTCGGGCAGCCTGAGGATTAGAATAAATGAACATCATTATCTGAGCTGTTTGGCACACGTGTGTGTGCAAGAGTCATGGACCATTTTCAAGGGAAAACGCCCGTTGCAGATTCCTAAAGCCTTTCTCATTTGTGACTTATTTGATCCTGGCAACAAGTTGGTGAGATTGGTTCATCCATGGGTCCATTTCACAGGCAGGAAAGTGGTGTCCCAGGGAGGCCGAGTGACTTGCCCACAGCCACCCAGCTGGGAAACGGGGAGCCGGATTTGGGTGAGGACCTGCTCCCTCCGCAGTGCGGGGTACACCTTCTCTCTCTCTTCCTCCTGCCTCCTTTCTTTTTCCTTCCTTTTTCTCCAAACTTCCATTCATCTATTTTTAAAACTCTTTTTGTTTTTGTTTTGTTTTGTTTTGTTTTGTTTTTGTTTTTTTTGAGACGGAGTCTTGCTCTGTCGCCCAGGCTGGAGTGCAGTGGCCGGATCTCAGCTCACTGCAAGCTCCGCCTCCCAGGTTCACGCCATTCTCCTGCCTCAGCCTCCCGAGTAGCTGGGACTACAGGCGCCCGCCACCTCGCCCGGCTAGTTTTTTGTATTTTTTAGTAGAGATGGGGTTTCACCATGTTAGCCAGGATGGTCTCGATCTCCTGACCTTGTGATCCATCCGTCTCGGCCTCCCAAAGTGCTGGGATTACAGGCTTGAGCCACCGCGCCCGGCCCTAAAACTCTTTTTGGAGATGTGGTCTGGCTATGTTGCCCAGGCTAGACCCAAGCTCCTGGGCTCAAGCAATCCTCCCACCTCAGCTTCCTGAGTAGCTAGGATGACAGGTGCATGCTACCACACCTTGCTCATCTACTTTTAATTGAAAATTTAACATATGAAAATAGTAAAAAAAAAAAAAAACAAAGAAGCAACCAAACAATACAGGAAACGATGCCCTGAAAAGCAAGCCTCCTTCCATCCCAAATCTTCAGGGTCCCAGACCCCCTTTTTCTAGCTATGTGTGTGCATATGTGCTCGCACACATGTATGTGTAAGGACACTTAGCTGTGCATGTGTGATACATTACACGGCCTCCTACACAGACAGTAGCAGCCCATGCACTGGGTGCCTCTGGTTCTTCTTATTTCTTTCTCTTTTTTTTTGTTTTTGAGACACAGTCTTGTTCTGTCTTCCAGATTGGAGTGCACTGGCGCGATCTCAACTCACTGCAAACCTCCACCTCCTGGATTCAAGCGATTATCGTGTCTCAGTCACCCAAGTAGCTGGGATTACAGGTGCCCATCACCACGCCTGGCTAATTTTTGTATTTTCAGTAGAGACAGGGTTTTGTCACGTTGGCTGGGCTGGTCTCGAACTCCTGACCTCAGGTGATCTGCCCGCCTCAGTCTCCCAAAGTGCTGGAATTATAGGCGTGAGCCTCCATGTCCGGCCCTTCTGATTTCTCTTGAAAGCTGTTCTGTGTCCACCTGGATGGAGCCACCACTCTTTTTGCACATGAGCTGTCAGTGCATGGGGACTAGGTTGTCCTCGACAACTCCCCACCAACAGACATGAGGCTGCTCTGTCTCTGCTGTAATCAACGTGCGGCGTGGGTCATGCCTTTGGCACATACATGCCTGTGTGCCCCTGTGCCAGTGCCTCAGTCAGCAAGAATCCTCGGAGGAGAACCGCTGCGCACGAGGATCTGCCGCTGTCCGTGCTGGGCTGTGGGTAAATTGCCTCCCCATAGGTTGCACTTGTTCACACGCCTGTCCTCCCAATGTCAGGCCATGCCCCTCACTCCTAATGCCAGGCAGCACAGAGCCATTCAGGAGCCCTTTGGGGGCCCCTCCCAGGGAGCTCAGTCTAATTGGAGACAGCAAATATGTTGGATCTGCTTGATTTTCAAATGATTTACCCAGAAACATCTACCCTCTCAGCCCCTGGTGTGGGGAATATGAGCCCTTCCCTGGAAACACTGTTAGAAAAAGAAAAAAAACAAAAAGAAAGAGAGAGAGAAAGGGCTCATTGAATAGGGCATCCCTAAAACGTGGACAGAGGAAGCAGAGAGAATGGAGTCCAGACACTCGGACCCTGTTGTCACCCCACCAGGGTCCACCCAGCAACACCGAGACACTGAACAGGGCCCTCCTGAGGGCCTAGAAATGGTGGTGATCAGCTCCCACACCTGAGCCTCCCTAGTCCCCAAATCACCAGCGGGGACTTTTTTACAGCCCCTCCACCCAGCCACCCTGGGTCCTGTGCAGCCATCTGGGTCTACGCATCTCCGGGACGCACAGATGAGATGGAACTGTCCCACGCATGTTCTCTGGGGCAGAAACGGCGGCAGAGCCTGCCGAGGCCACTCTTGCCAGCTGGCCAGGGCACAGCGTCTGACCCAGGAGGCTGTGACTTCGCTGCCCCAGGCCTGGCATGGCCTGTGGACAGTGGCCTGTCCCACCAGCCACCAGGAACCTCCCTTCAGTGCCCACCCCATCCACCTCGCCAAGACTGATCTAGAAATTATTTATAGATCCGAACTCCACAGAAACCATTGTGTCTGCTGTTGCCATGGCAATGGGGATGTGGCAGGAGCGCCAGGCTCTCAGGCTTTCCAGGGCCCGTGGAGGCCGGCAAGGGCGGTCGATTTCTACCAGGAGCCCCTGACTCACACCCGCCGTCAGAGACCCCCGGGAGCGAAGAAGACAGGCTTCCCACCCTTTTCCAGCAGGGCTGGCTGCATCCAGGAAGACAGCGCTGCTGGTGAGTGGTTCGATTTTGTTTCAGACCTCTCCAAGAAATCATCTAGAACAACTTCCGCAAGACTGGAGGTGCTCCCGTCCCCCATGGAACCTCTCGGGAACACAGCCTCCGACTCCTCACCGCAGAGCAGCTGCGTCAGACTCCCGGACGGCAGGGCCTAGGGATCTGTGTTTTGGTTTTGGGATCTGTGCAAATCCACATGACTCAATAATCCAAACATACAGAGAGCCTGGGAACCCTTACCCCACTCTGGCGCCCTATGCGTCCGCTTTCATTGGCTTCTTGTATTTCCGGCTTGTTTTCTTTAGGGAGGCAGCAAATACAAGATACGGTCCACTTTTACCTTTTTCCCCGCTCAGAAAATAAAGATGCCACAGCCAGGCTTTTGCACCTTGCTTTTCTCACTAAATGCTATTTTCCAAAGCTGTCACCAAATTTGCCGCTTCTTTATTTTTTTTCTTGTACGGCGGCACAGCGTGGGTTCCCTCCTATGGGTGGGTGTGCCAAGGAATCTGCTTGCGTAACCAGACCTTTTTCCTAGGAGCAGTTGCCCAGACGCAGCCCTAGGATGAGAATGGGTTTGCAGTGACTATTCAGGGAGTACTCCCTGGGGACACAGGTTGGGGGTGGGACGCTGGACTGGAAAAGGAAGGAAGCTGAGCAGGGTGCTATGTGGGCACAGTCCTTCCGCAGCCTGAAGGAGCTGGGGTGGGCGGGGCATGCCCAACCCCACAGGGGAACTGTGGAGGGTCAATCACACCCTGGGATGTCCCAGCCTGAGACCAGGGAGCTGGGGGCTTCATATACCCATCCAGAACCCACCTGTCTTTGGTTAAGGGCGGTCTAGGAAGGTCTAAATTCCCAGGCATTTCCATGCATGATGATGACGAAGCGGCTTCGGGGAGCCCACGGGCCACCCTCTAAACCAGAGGTCTCCAACCTCTGGGCCACGGCAGGAGGTGAGCAGCAGATGAGTGAGCAAAGCTTCATCTGTATTTACAGCTGCTGCCCATGGCTCACGTTAATGCCTGAGCTCCGCCTCCTGTCAGATCAGTGGCGGGCTTAGATTCTCAGAGGAGCGTGGACCCTATTGTGAGCTGCATATGTGACAGATCTAGGTTGCACGCTGCTTATGATAATCTAATGCCTGATAATCTGTCACACGGCAGTGACCAGCAAGGACACACATCCCTTCCCGCATGAAGCTTACACTCCAGACCAGCGTTGCCCAATAGAGCTTTCTGCAGTAATGGAATGTTCTAGATCTGCGTTGTCCAATGTGGTGACCACTAGTCCCATGTGGCTGTTGAGGCTTTGAAATATGGCTGGTACTGGTTTGTGGCCTGTTAGAAACTTGGCTGCATAGCAGGAGGTGAGTGGCAGGTGAGCGAGTGAGGCTTCCTCTGTATTTACAGCCGCTGCCCATCGCTGGCATTACGGCCTGAGCTCCCCCTCTGGTCAGATCAGCTGCAGCGTTAGATTCTCATAGGAATGCGAACCCTGTTGTGAACTGTCATTCGAGGAATCTCGGTTGTGCGCTTCTTACGAGAAACTAATGTCCGACGATCTGTCACTGTCTCCCGTCACCCCCAGATGGGATTGTCCAGTTGCAGGAAAGCCAGCTCAGGGCTCCCACTGATTCTACATTATAGTGAGTTGTATAATTATTTCTTTATATATTACAATGTAATAACAATAGAAATAAAGTGCACAGTTAGTGTAATATGTTGAATCATCCTGAAACCATTCATCCTGCCTGGTCCATGGAAAAATTGTCTTCCATGAAACCGGTCCCTGGTGCCAAGAAGTTTGAGAACCACTGCTTTCAGCAGCTGCTGGTGCTGGCTGGCGGAGGTATAAACGCTCAAAGCTTTGGAGTGCACAAAAATGGTAAAAAGGGATCTAGGGGTCCGGCAGGGGCCCTGTGGTTATCCAATACATGTTTCCAATGGATTCTGTTACAACTGGTTCTGACAGGGAGCTGCCCTGGCTTAGAGACAATTCGTGAGCAAATTATCACCCATGTACTCAGCACTTCCATGAACCAGGCCCCGGCTAGACCAAGGAGTCCCAGGTGTGTGGACCCCAGTGCGTTTCCTCCACGGGTGTGGCACTGGGCAGGAGAGGGCCGAGGGCCCCTGCAGCTGGAGGTGGCTGGTGGCCCCTGTGTGCTCACAGCCCTGCTGCAGCTTCCTCAGAAATGATACGACCTCACTGCACCTCCTGACCTTGAGGTGCACTGAGAAGCACTGCAGAGGACACTCTGCTCATCAACAAGTTTTATTTCTCTGTTTGTGCATTCAGCACAAAATATGTGTATTGGTGTGATAGACTTTGTAATACGTTTCCAACGTTTTTTCTACAAAGTTTCAGGTCTTTCCCATAAGCAGAGCCCTTGAAGGTGCTGGCGCAGATTCCACGATCTGAGGCCTCCTAACGGCCTCTGGAGCCCCTTTCTGGCACTTCCCACATAGAGCTGCCGCGCATGGTCCGAAAATCATCCTAAAAATGGAACCTTACGCTCAGGCAGGCACCGCACAGTTCTGTGTGAGTCGCATGCTTCTCAGCCAAGACGCGGCTGTGTAGGAAGTTCCTTATAAGGATTTCCTACTCTTTTTGGGCCACCTGTTTGTGTCATGACCAACAGCATTTGTATTCCCAAGTCTGTGCCTCCTGTGGGCAGGAAGGGGCCCTCGTTGCCTTTTCCCTTGTGGGTCTTCAAGTCCATGAAGTGGGGGCTTGGCCAGGGTATGAGATGTCTTTCTGCAAATTAGAGAAAGGGATATGCTAGGGTTTGTCCTTTCCGACGCTTATGCTGAAATTGAATCCCTACAGTGGCAGTATTGAGAGGTGAGGCCTTGAGGAGGTGATCGAGTTGAGAGGGCTCTGCTGTCATCAGTAGATGAATCCATTGGTGGACTCACGGGGGAACGGGTGAACGTTGGCGGACTCACGGGGGAACGGGTGAACGTTGGCGGACTCACGGGGGAACGGGTGAACGTTGGCGGACTCACGGGGGAACGGGTGAACGTTGGCGGACTCACGGGGGAACGGGTGAACGTTGGCGGACTCACGGGGGAAAGGGTGAACGTTGGTGGACTCATGGGGGAACGGGTGAACGTTGGTGGACTCACGGGGGAACGGGTTAATGGGTTAATGGTTATCCCAGGAGTGGGTCAGTTATCATGGGAGTGGGACTGGTGGCTTCATAAGAAGAGGAAGAAAGACCTGAGTAAGCAGAGTCAGCCTCCACATGCCCTGTGCCTCTTGGGGCCTCCATAACTGTAAGAAATTAATTCCCTTTCTTTATAAATTGCCCAGTTTCAGGAATTCTGTTATAAACAACAGAAAACAGACTAAGGAAGCACTCCCTATCTGAGTGGACTCAGCCTGGAAAGGAACAGTCTTCTGCGTGGGGGGATTTTTATAGGTGTCCCAGGGTGGTTGGGACTCCATCCATGCTGACCACCCAAGCATCATTAACCTGGGATATTAATGAGGACATTGGTTTGGGTGCTCTAACAAGGACAATCAAAGTGGCAGAGATTGCCAGAGGTGGAAGGTGATTTCTTTCTGTCTCTCACAGCTGGGGTCGAGCTGGTGTGGCCTGGGCACCTTCCCATTTGTCATTCCACAATTCCCCTTGTGTGTGGTCCTTGTCCATGTGCTGCAGGGCAGGGTGCTGAGAAGCAGACCTGCAGTGGAGATTTGCATGCAGGAAGGACCTGAGCATACTCTTGGGGAGAGGCAGGACCAGCAGAGGGAGGAGGTGGCTGAGATGCTCCCACAGGAGCTCTGAGGCTGGCATGGGCCATCACAATTGTCCCAAGTGGGGGTGAGGGGCTTGGCCTCTATAGCTCCCCTAAGAGTAGGTGTGCCTCTATGTAAGCCAGCTCTCTTCTGCTAAGGGTAATTCCCAGAGAGTGCTGAGAGTGGACCACACTCCAGCCAGCAGGAAGGGGCAGCGGAGGGGGAGACTCCCCAGTCTGTGCAGGGAGAGGCTCAGAAGGTACACACATCACTTTTCATCCTCATCCTTATCATGTGGCCACATCTACCTTCGAGGGAGGCTGTGGGGTGCAGCCATATACCTGTTTAGAAGTCAGGGTTTGTCTCACCATGAGATCGACGGGAAGACCGTAACACCTGGCACCTAGACGAGCCAGCCCACCGCCTCGGTGCTCGGGAATCAGTGCATGAGCAAAGGAGAGATTAGGAGCAGAGTGCCTGCTGTTGGTAGGAAGAATAGGATGTTTTCTCTTGGCTTGGGAGCACACAGAGTGATCCTGTGGGTATTTGTTTCCAGTGCTGCATTGTATCACACATTTAACCACTTAAAACAACACACGGCCAGGCGGGGTGGTTCACACCTGTAATCCTAGCACTTTGGGAGGCTGAGGCAGGAGGATGGCTTGAGCCAAGGTGTTTGAAATCAGACAACATAGGAAGATCTCTTGTCTCTACAAGAAAAAAAAATTAGCTGGGTGTGGTGGTGCGTGCCTGTGGTTGTGGTCCCAGATATTTGGAAGTCTGAGGTGGGAGGATTGCTTGAGATCAGGAAGTCAAGGCTGCAATGAGATATGATTGCACCATTCCACTCCAGCCTGGGTGACAGAGCAAGACCCTGTCTCAAAAAACCAAACCAAAACACAAACACACACACATTTATGATCTCACCATTTCTGTGGGTCAGGCATCCAGGCACAGCTTAGCTGGTCTGTGCTCAGGGTCTCCTGAGGCTGTATTTGAGGTGTTTGCTGAGCTGCATTCTCATCTGCAGGCCCGAATGGGGCAGAGTCTGCTTTGCGTTCATCCAGGCTGTTAGCAGAATGTATTTCCTGTGGTTGTAGGGCTGAGGGTCTGCTTTCATGACTGACTGTCCCCTGGGAGCTGCCTTTGTCCCCTGCTATGTGGCCCCCTCCAAGGGCATATCACCATATGGGTATTTCTTTCCTCAAGGCTGGCAGGAGAGCTCCTCACTCCTGCCTGCTGAGATGGAG